TTTGGGAGAAAAGTAATTCTGTTAAGAAAGGTGAAATAGGGAAAAAGCCTGGGCGTAGATTAATATTCGGGTAATATTCAATACAGCAATAAAGACTATATCTCCACACGTGACAGTAAATGACTTAATTTCAGTTAACAGCGTTCTCTACATTATCCAGTTGCTAAGGACATTTTGTTTTGCTATTATTAATTACTTTGTTCAATAAATTCATTTCGTTTTGCCTTGAAAAAGTCCACATCGGGCAAAACGCATCGGCAACTATTACAGTTTTCCTATTGACTTTTACATTCATAAATATTGTCTTTCTCTACAGGTTAACTCTGAGAAATTGTTCATATATATATATATATATATATATATATATATATATATATATATATATAGTTAGAACGTTCGAGTTCTGACCGTGAGACCCGGGTTCGAATCTCACCATGTTCAATTTGTCAGGAAGGAGACTTCCGGATGTTATCGGACTGGAGGGGTCGATCCCAGTGTGCGGCACCTTTGAAAAGTGCCTGAAAACTATACCCTGGGTTGACACAAGCCTTGTGAATGAAATTGGGTCGATGGAACCAACATAAAATTTTTTGCTACTACATCCCCAAAAAAATAAAAGACTTAAACAAAACAATAAGCTAAAATTTGAGGGAGTAGTTGGCCTGTAATAATTGTGCCAAATCCACATAGGAGAAACTTCAGGAAATCTAAAGTTTAAATGAACACAAAAGGGACATTTTACAAAATAATACATTAAATGCATTGATTGCCCACTGTAAAGAGAGTGACCATTACTTTGACATAAAAAATGCTACTCTGATCAAAGGAGAAAATAATTCACTATGACGTAAATACCTAGAAAGTGCCTGAATTGCAAGGTCATCTACAGTAAATTTTTGCCCTGGCTCTTACAACATTTCCCCATTTCTGGCTGATCTTTTAATATCACAATGTGAAAGAAAAAGACTCTAAATGAATTCGGCTAGATAAAAAAATATTCAATCAATCGGAGATGTACTCGTGTGCCACACTTTCCATTTCAAATCCTTGTATTTTGATAGATTTTTGAAGATCTTCAAAGGTTTATTACAAACTGCAGGGACTGCCATGTCATTAAGAAAGTACATTCTGTTCTTTTCATCACGATGCCTGGGTAATTAAATTTGATTGTTTTGTCTGTGTATTGTAAAGTCCCATAAAATTGTTGCAGGTCCCATCTATGTAACTGGGTCTGGGTAATGTTTATACCAGTTACTCGCAGTTTCCTTCCCGTCAAAGTTGCAAATTTTCCTGTTCAGGTATTGGTCCATTCTATCCATGCCGTTTTATATTCAGTGGGTGATAACACCATGCAACCTGATACTAGATAGTCAATTGTTTCTGGATATTTATATATGTGCTTGGTAATTTCTAGTTAGCATTGGTCCTGTACAGCAAGAATAAAACCTTCGGATTCAGTTTTAATACTGAACCACGTAAATACTGATGGGTATGGGGTTTGTCTACATCAGCTTGTTTGACCAGGAAGAGGCTTATCTTGCCATCGTTTCTGCATTTGGTACATTGCTTTTGCTTTCTAGTTTAGGTTTTTTGCCACTGCGGTAGGTGTATTAGGGTTTACTTGCATTTCTTCAGCTACTTGATATTCAAGTTTGAAGCTGTTGGCCTCCTTTATTACTGATTAATCTTTCTTATTTATTTCATGTTCTCTGACACAGATACTCATCTAGTATTCTGTACTTTCCATGTATCTTTGAAAAGTAACTGTTGTGGTTTTGTGAGACAGTTCTAGTTGAACTAATCCTCTGCCTCCTTTGGATCTGAGTACATACAGACAATCAAGCTGGAGATGATGCATGCGGTGGCAAGTGAGAATCATTATTATTATTATTGGATAGTTTTTCATTTTTTACTTAGCTTTACTTCAAAATTTCTTTCATGTACACTTCTAAAGACTATATATGACACTCCTGTATTATTATTATTATTATTATTATTGTGCATGAAATGTATTTTTGTTGTTACAGACATTTATTTACTCCAAAGCTCTTTTCATTTGCACAATTAAGATTCCGTTACATTTTTAATATTTTTTATTATATATATATATATATATATATATATATATATATATATATATATATATATATTCATCTCTTAATATTATCATATTTTCGGATGTACGGAAATTATTTTTCTTTTTTTACGGACCTTTACCCCAAAGCTTATTTCATATGTACATCTATGATGCTCCGGCGTGGATAATGGTTAGCGAGACCAGTCTGATTGACTGTTTCTACTAAGCAGCGAGTTCGATCCTCACTAGGTGGCTCAGACAAAATTCAACAAGAAACAACCCAACATGTGTAAAAATCCAGCCAGTAACGACAAAAAAGACGATGGCTCAACTACAATAAGATTATGATATATGAGAATTATGTCAAAAGTAATTTCGTTTTTAAAGACGTTTACCCTAAATCTTGTTTTATGTACACTACACTTCTTTTTCGTTTTCTTCTTCCTCTTCTTCTTCTTCTTCTTCTTCTTCTTCTTCTTCTTGCTGTTGTTGTTGTGTTTTACGTCTGTTTGTTTTATGAGCTTCCTCTAATTCAACGTCAAACCTCAAGAGAATGCAACTTAACTGACCATGTTTGTTGGTACAATTGCTTGGATATGTAGCTGATATTTCCACCATTTTTTTCCTCAATTTTATGATGTCGTATGGTTGTGTATATTCGTTGAAACTTTCCTTCCAATGTGTACGTGTGAACACAAATAAAATTTACGTACATTTAAAATCTATAAACGGATTAAATGAATAGAATGAAAAATAAAATGATGTCATACTTATAATATTCAGTAAAATCACAAAAGAATATTGAAAATATGAAGAAGAAATCATTGCAAAACGTGTAGGGGTTCTATGAATATATGAGAATGTGTACGCAAATTCCTGTAGTACATGTTCATAACCTGTCACATTGATACAACTTGCCTGAGGATGCGGGAAATACCCATGTGTTTAATCGTTTGCATTTTAACTAAACACGATTCAGCAAGTCAGAGGGGAACCATGATTTAGCGCACTAGTAACAATTGGGATTATCTGAGTTCTTAGTGTGAGCTGTACTTGTGACTAAAATTTTCTGTATTTCTTTAAGGCATGAACTATTAGGAATCCCTTCAATGAGTTTATCGGCTCCATTTCCCATCAATCCGAGGTCTCCAACTACAACCGCAATTACTGATATACTCATGTACCACATTTTTGAGATTTCAATTTCAAGGTCCTTGTATTTTGATAGTTTTTATTTTTTGAGATTTTCAAAGAAACATTACTGTCTTCAGGGACAAACATGTCAATAAAGAAGCACATTATGTTCTTGGGGTCTCTGATCACTTTGTCTCGGCAATTAGCTTTGATTGTTGTTGTTATAATTATTATTATTATTGTGTGGTATCATCCTGACAGTAATTTTAATTGTCTAATTACCAAGATCCCCGGAGCCTATGGGCACTGTAGGAGAGTTCTATATGCCCATTTAATGTTTCGTTTAGATGGAGAGAGTCTGGCAGATGATACGTCGTAGTTTCACACAATGTTAATATTTTGCATCTCTGAGATGCTGATGTGTCCAGGATTTTTACTCACACAGTTTTAGGTACCCTTCTTTATAAATACCCCTATCTTTATAAATACCCTTATCACAAGAAGGATAATCGTAGTTTTAAGTTTTCACACTTTTGTTACTTCAATTTGCAGATCCTTATAATTTTGAAGTTTATTATTATTATTATCATTATTATTATTATTATTGTTTGTTGTCGTTGTGCACAGTGCTCGCTTTTCAGTCTTTATAAAGTTTACAAACGTCTTCGCGGCTTTGTGAGTGATGACTTCCACACTCCAACTCCTATTCCAAAGATGAAACGTCGCTAGCCTATTTCTACTATATCACTCTTTTCATAGCAAATGTTCAGGCGAGTTACATCCCTTAGTTCCACCAGTTCAGGCCTTCACAACTAAGACCCACCATGCCACGTACACTGGGATGAATCGACCCCAGTCCCTTCGTATTCCACTAGTAAGAAGGGAAGTTCCATTCGGACAGCTTCTTCCCAAGAACTGCTACTTTATGGATGCTTCTCCGATTACTATAATGAAACTATAACAAAAAGGACTTGTGGGTTATCCCACTTGGTTTTGTAAAAGCACTCGTTAGAGGAAGGGGGGCGTTTTTTTTTACAGACTTTCCTATATATCCTGCACTTCTTACCTCATCTTCTTACGCGCATCAGATCTTACGGCCTTATCACCGACCACTGAAGTTTAACAACATAGAAGCTTTGTCAGTACATAGATGGGTGACTGCAAGGAAATGCTATGTATTGTAAGCATGGGTATGTGGGTGGTGTAATGGATAACGGCTCGGAATTAGATATCAGAAAGCCGAGTAAATCGTTATTATCTCCCCCTAAAATTTTACAATCTAAAAATATTTTCTGTCTTTAGACTTTAAGTAAACTTCATATATATGATCCAGTAAGTAGCTGACTATGCACTTAACAACAGCCAGATCAGACCAAAAATGGTGTGCTGCTGCCATATCTGGGCTGGAGTTGAACAGTCCTCCTTTACAATCTTTATAAAGTTTATAAACGTCTTCGCGGCCTTGTGAGTGATGACTTCCACACTCCAACTTCTATTCCAAAGATGAAACGTCGCAAGCCTATTTCTACTATATCGCTTGTTTTATAGCAAATGTTCAGACGAGTTACAACTAAGACCCACGTACACCGAAACGAATCGACCTCATTTCCCTTCGTATTCCACTAGTAAGAAGGGAAGTTCCATTCAAAGAGCTTCTTCCCAAGAAACGCTACTTTATGGTGCAGACTCTCCAGAGCATTCTTCCTCTGCCAATACAATCTTCAAGTCTAGGGATAACTGTCATCTTTCCTACATATGCTGCATTTATTGCCCCCTCCTCTTCGTGCATCAGGGCTGTGTTGAAACCCTGGTTCTCGTACGATCACCGAAGTTAAACAATGTCGAACCTGGTCAGTGCCTTAGACGGGTGACCGCTTGGAAATAGCAGGTGCTGTAAGCTTGGATATGCGGGTGGTGTAATGGATAACGGCTCGGAATTGGAAATCGGAGAGCCGGGTTCGAATTCCAGTCGGGTTCGTTATATTCGCTTACGCGCAGATACTCTTGGGAAAGAGATGAATCCACCACTTCTCCCCTCTAGCTATGGACTAATTAGTATGACTTCTATTAATAAATCATTATTATCATTATTAGTTTTATAAGTCGTAAAACAAAACAAATCGATCACTCTTGCGAGCATCAACCACATTCAGTAATCCTCTGTGTTGTGTGGCTCTTGAGCCTTATATTGGAGAAAAAGTATCGGTACTGGTGCTATAAAGAGTAAACGATAACACATATCAATTCAGCGTTTAATTTCCTACGAAGTAGTCTATTTCTGAAGCTACACATTATATCCAGTGTTGTTTCCATTGATGAAATCATTTCCTGGAATTTTTTTTTTTTTTTTTTTTGGTGGGTGGGTATAGCAGCGACTGCCGCTTAGAATTCATTTGGATTCCCTCGACATTTGTTCCTTTCAAGTGAGATTTGATTTTTGAAGAGGAAAAAGTCTCAATAGGCGAGATCTAGGGAATAATGTGGTTGTCGGACCTGGGGAATGTTGTACTTGGCCCAAACCTGCTGTACAAGCTATGGTTGCTGATGGAATGTTGGTGTTGTGGCAAGACACTTTAGACACTTTTATTAGAAGTACAGCTATAAAGAACGGAAGCTAGTGAAAACGCTATAACTTGGTGTGTATGCGCAACAGAGTTCAAGGTCTCTCTGTACCAGACGTCTTCCCTCTGCATTCTTTAGCTCCGTTGCCATAGCAACTGTCTCGATACTTTAAGATCGGATCTCGTATTTGCCATGAAAAGTGGCGATAGAGCAGGGAGAGGCTGGCAACGTTTTGCCGGTGAAAAAGAGGTTAAAGAGTGGAAAATAATCGCCCAAAAGGTTGCATAAACTTTTTTTTTTTTAACTATATCCAGGCTAGAAAGTGAGTTTTGGATCTAGATATGGCAGCAGTAATCCATCTTTGGTCTGATCTATGCACGGCATGAGGAGCCTGGAACGATACAAGGAATAAAAGTAAAATAAAATTGGTAGTGGGGTATTTTAAACTTGGCTCTTAGTCATTGAAGCTGTTTGTCGAATTTGGGACGTGGAGGAAATGAAATCGTCATGCCAAAAATATGATTGAAGGGTTGTAATATGGTGATCCTTGAAATAAAATTGAGAATTTTTTCAACCCTCAATAGTTTATTGTGATTCTTTAAGGGACATTGTACACAAAAGCTGCGCGACCAGCACTTCAAAACATTCACCAGAGCTGGAATCATAAAAAGCTGCCATATACAGACTAGTACATCAAAGCTAAAAAGCCGAAATAATTCTGATACACCCCAGTTAATTGATTACTCTGTTCAATTAATGTTTGTCACTATATTTACATACCACTTGTTACGTCTTTACCAGATGAGCCATGACTTTATAAATAGCATTTACATTCAGATGTTTTCAAGCTTTTCAAAAGACTTTCTCGGTTTCTGTGCTTGTACGCATGCGTGTTTGTATACGCTTCTTAAATGCTACAAATAATCAGACGATAAATTTTTCACATTGTCGATGATTTTGTAAGAGCAATAAACAGCTCTATAGCGCCTACCTATCCACCTACTTTGTATTTATCGGTAGGCAAAAATAAATGAATAAAAAAACACAAAGAAAAAATAAAAGACAAAAAAAAATGTTACTAAGTCGTTTTCAAACGATTGATGACACTGACACCAATGAAATACCTTTCCTGTTCCTTAAAGATATTTGTAACCGAGCAGGAAGTATGCGATATATTACGTCAGCATTCTTTGCATAAAACGTCATCAACGCACAGATATGAACAATAAGATTCTATTTCTGTCTTCGTACTGATGCATAATGTCGGTGTACGTGTGTATACACGGATATACCCTGTCCATTCAGGACATAAGGAATAACGTCTCTCCACAACTTTCTATCCTTTGTAGTTTTTAGTAAGGTTTGTTTTCTCGCTAACCCAGTTCCATCAACCATTTACACAAGCACAATATGACCTCAGAGTGTAAAATTCCCCAAATTCTCTTTCCTCATTCATCTCCAACAACTTTCAGCTGCCGATTTCTGGTTCTAAGTATAAGAGTCCTTTTTGTTTCCATCTTTCTTCAAACTTTCCCGTTTCTCACGTGCTCAGTCTATAGTAATCTCAGCATCCTACTGTAGAACCACATTTCTTTTGCTACAAATCATCTTTTCATCTGTGAGGAGATTGTACATCATATACTGCTATATAGGCAGTATGTTTGATATTACATAGCAGCTGTTTCTAACACAATTTTCATATTTCTTAATATTTTATTTAGCTTTTGGAAGGCATCTTTCGCTAACCCAATGCGTCTTAGGATTTCGGTGTCACATTTTCCGTCCTCTGTTAAAACACTTTCCAGATATTTAAATTTTCGTAATTGCTTTATTTTGATTCTGATTTTTTAATGCTTCCTTAACCCTCTGGCTCACCTTTCAAAGCTTACCTTACCACTCGCGGATTTATTAGCAATTTTCGTTAAGCGCAAAATATTTAAATAGCAATCGATATAATCCAGTGTATTCCATAGCCAGTATTTAACCACTGACTATAATATATTTCACGTAGACGCTTACAAAATTTAGAATTAATCGTTTTAGCGAATACTTTATACTTAAGTTCTACTTCTCTGATATTCAACATCTAATAGACACACCTGAGTGCAAATGCAGGATTTTGTCCGCCTGCAAATAAAACGTAAAATTCTGTCAATCTGCAAATATAATTTAAAATTCTCACCGTAAAAAAATTACGTAACATTCTGTCCATATACAAATATAACTTAACATATTGTTCAGTTGCAAATATTGCGTAAATTCTTGCCCGTGTGCCAATATTACTTAACACGTTCCCTGTGTGCACATATTACATAAAATTGGTCAATGTGCAATAATAGCTGTCCAGGTGAAAATATTGCGTAAATAAAGCTTGTCTGTGTGCAAATAATACTGTGCGGGTATAAATAATGCGTGCAATTATTTCTGTGTGCAAGTATTACTTACAATTCTGTCCGTGGGTAAATATTACTTAACATGCAGTCGAGGTGCAAAAATGTCATAAAATCCTTTCCGTGTGCAAATATTAATTAAAATTGTATTCATGGTAAAATATTACTTAACATGCTGTCCAGGTATGAAAATTAAGTAAAATCCTTTCCGTGTGCAAATATTACGCACAATTCTGCTATTGCATAAATGCGGTTTTACGGTCTTTGATCGTACACCCACTGGAGCGGAATACGACACATTTCGATGTTTAAAATTAGAATCTTGCACATACATGGGATTGGCCGCATAGATTTCTCACTTCCTTCGGCATTTCCTAATTGAGATACCTCAGGCGCCAAGGTAGCTACTGTCTAGAAGGATAGTCCCCTGGACTTATGCACAACAATTAGGACCGCATCAGAATAAGGCCGAGTTTAAAGTGGAGTTCTCAAAACTTGCCATGGTCCAGAAGTAAAATAATAATAATAAAAAAAAACAGTTTTTATCGATTCAGCATTTCCTCTCTGGAACTGTCTTAGGTGTCTTAGGTGCCATGAATTAAACCTTGGCCTACATTAATGAGAGAGGTATTGCCCGAGTGATGGCTCCTTGGGACTAAACCACGCAAGAAATTTGTATTTACTCAACCCCACCACGAGGTCAGGCTGTGACACAGGGTCGGTTTGATGTGGGGAGCGCGTAAACCGGGCTAGGAACAAAAAGTGCCCGAGCCCTCACAACCACCGGTTGTGCTGGCCTCTGTGCAAGCACCAATTCCTCTCTCTGATGCAATGAAAGGGTGCGGCCTCGGGCAGCTGTTTACCAGGGCTGGGCAACTCCTTGTATAATTTTCCTCAATTGCGGCTCTATCCTTTGACGGAGCTGACTCTGAGCGCACTCTGTCCAAGAACAGAGACGCAATTGAAACATGATAAATAAACGTGTTATAAACTACTCGAGAGCAATTTACACACAAAAAATGCAGTTCTATTTACCAGCATGCATCTTATATTCCCCCAAACTAATTCAATTTGTGCTTTATGCAGATAACAGATTGAAATATACAGGTAGAATCACCAATTTAAAAAAAAAATAACTATATTTTGTTGTCTCTTTCCAGTCTGATCTTTTGTAATTTTTATGCATAAATCATCGCTTTGTCGGCAGCTTTTGTCATTAAATTGCTCAGATATTCAAATAAAATAATTTTAAGTCCTGAAAGTGGTAACCGCCTAAGCATTTAGATCACAGCTTGGTAATAAATGGAAGAAAATACTATATAAATCGTGGACTCACTCGTTGTATTCGACATATGAGGGTCAAGCAGCTCAGTTCCTAGAAACTGACAGCCAGCCAGCCAGACACCTGCACATATGATTTGATTATGGTGGTGTAGGCTTTGTTCAGAACCAAAGACACTTTTTAAAGGGCCGAATACAGAGACCTAGTGCACTACGTGCTATAAGACCCCCAAACGACCCTCCGCAGGTTTTGAATTCATAGTTGTCCTTCTCCTAGACAAGTTGCCATCCAAGGTTATAGAACGCAGTCTGTCCTGTTATTTACCCATAGCTGGGAGGAGAAGAGGATTCATACCTTTCCCAAGGTTATTAGCACGTAAGTGAATGTAATGGAAGTAAAAGGAAGTAAGAAATGTTAACATTTGTAAGGGTATATTTTAAAAATTGAATAAATATTGTCAATTATAATATAACATTGTATGGGAAAGAAAAAAATTGTATAAACAATAATGTTTCGATGTGAGCAACTGCTTTAAATACGACGATTTTGAAAGTATCATCTTACGCCATATGCAAATCTCTCAAGCAATGAGACGACTGGGCAGTCAAGTGGGTTGGGGTGAAGAGGAAACTTTTTTTTCCCACGCAACGCCTGATATCACTGC